TGAGAGCAGAAGAGGGGTCAGTGAGGGTTTGTCACCTCAAGGCTGGACTATGGGAACTCTCTCCTCGCCGGCCTTCCCGCCACCTCCCTCCACACTGCAGGTCATTCAGAACTCTGCAGCTCGTGTACTGTCCCGCACCAGACACCGTGACCACATCACTCCCACCCTCGCTCGCCTCCACTGGCTCCCCATCCCCCAGAGGATTGATTTCAAGATCCTCATCCTCACCTACAAGGCCATTCACGGCCTTGCTCCTCCTACCTCTCCAACCTACTATCCCCTACCTACCTGCCCGTACCCTCCGTTCCTCTGGCTCCGGTCTGCTCCACGTCCCCCGCCCCAACCGCCCTACCATCGGTGGTCGGGCCTTCAGCCTCTCAGCCCCCAGGCTCTGGAACTCCATCCCCCAGTGCCTTCGCCGCTTCCTCCCTTTCCTCCTTCAAGGCCGGTCTCAAAACCTTTCTCTTTGACCTTCAGCCTTCAGCTCCCCTCTCGACTCTCTTCCTCCTCCTCGCTCCCTCCCTTCCCTCCCCTCACCCTGACCATTTCCCCCCTCCTCTCTCCCTCCCTTCCCTCCCCTCACCCTGACCATTTCCCCCCTGCTCGGGTCATGACCCAACTGTGCAGCGCCTTGGGACGTCCTCCTGACGTGAAAGGCGCTCTATAAATGGAATCTTGTTGTTGTTGTTGTTGTTGAAGGGCAGAGGGAGAGGAGTTCAGAGGACTCCAAGGCAGCGGTTAGGGATTGTGGTGGTAACTTCCTCCAGGGGTGGTAGAAGATGGTGGTGGGTCTGGTGGAGGTGTGGAGGGGTGTGGAGGTGGTGAAGGAGATGAAGTGGTGATCGGAGACGGCCTTGTCGGTAATGGTGACATCCGAAACACTGAGGCCCCGGGTGATCCCCAAATCGTGTGGGTGGTCGTGACTGTGAGTGGCGGAGTTGATGTGGAGGGAGAGGTTGAGTGAGGATAGCAGGGAGGAGAAGTCTGAGGAGATGGAGCAGGAGGGGGTGAAGTGCAGGTTGCAGTCGCCCAGGATGATGAGGCGATCAGAGCAGAGGCAGAGAGATGTAAGTAGGGTGGAAATATCGGAGAAGAAGGTGGGGGAGGTTTCAGGGGCCGATAGAGGAGGATTTTGAGTGAGAGGAAGGAGGGGTGGGAGATGGTGAGGTGCTCAAAAGAGGTGAAAGAACCAGAGGAGTAGGGGGATAGGGCAAGTGGTGTCCTTGAGATACGGCTACCCCACCGCCACGGCGGTTGGGGCGAGCGATGTGGTGGGAGGTGTAGCGGGTGGTGTGGCCTCTATGAGGGGGAAGTGGTTGCCTGGGGTGAGCCAGGTTTCCGTTAAGGCCATGATGTCAATGCTCTCATCAAGGATGAGATGATTGATGACCAGGGCCTTGTTACAGAGGGAGTAGACGTTTTGTAGTCCGATGCAGAGGGAGCGGTTGACAGAAGGGTGTGTGGGAGGGGAGGGGGGTCCAGGTTGTGGGGTAGGGGTGGGGGGAATGGGGGTAAGGGAGGAGAGGTTGACTCCCCGGGTCTGTGTCCGGGGTGGGTGGCGAGAGTGGTGGGGAATGGGGCAGTCGGTGTGGCTGCTGCTGGACAGCCAACGCCGAGTGCCGCGGTGAGCCCGGCGGAGGATTCCCAGACTGGAGCAGAGGGAGGTTGTGGGAGGGTCAAGTGGGGAAAGAAGGCGAGAGGGACGGAGAGAGAGGAGGACAGAGCAGGAGAGATGCAGAGGGGGGAGGGCTTGGGGGGAGGGTGTGAGGGGGCTCGAGTCAGAGCGGCAGCCATGCGCATGCGGGGACCGGGAGCGAGCGGTCAGGTGGATGGCATTGGCCCATAGGCTGGGGCTGGGGCAGCCAACCCATGGTGGGCCCTGATGCGAGCTCTGGGGTCGGGGTGTGGAGGCGCAGAGGTTTGTTTTTTGCGCGCACACTCCTGAAGCTAAACTATGGCGTCAGCGGTTCCCCCGCTCCGCCCCACACCGCCCCACCCCCTTCCCCCTCACTGAACTCCCTACCGCCTCGAGCTTTATATTACCTGAGAAGGTAGGCCCAGGCTCCTCCCG